GTCTTGAACTCCTGGGCTCAAGCAATTCTCCTGCCTCAGGCTCCTAAAGTGCTGGGATTACTGGTGGGAGTCCCTGCCCTGATAGCCTGAAGGCTTATGAAGGAAAAACTAGAGACTGCAGAGACTCCTTCATGTTTCTCAACTGCCAGTGTACGCTCTGAAAGGAGGGGTGGCCGGAGGGGCTGCGAGGCTTGGGAAGCAAGCCTTGTGACACCTCCATGCTGGGGGTCGGGGACAGGTGTGGTGTAGATGTGAGGACAGTGGACGGACAGCAAATCCTCACGAGACCTGGGGGGTGCTGGAGTGGTCTAGGAGGGAGGTGCAGGGCTGGGAGACGGGCAGCAGTGACCAGACCCGGGGGGAGGGCTGGGAGGATGAGGCCCCCTGACTGACCTCTTAGGGCTTGGAGAACCACTACAACCACCTCAAGGTCAACAAATCCAAACCAAACTCATCCTCTTTCTCTGAACATAATATCTGCCCAGCTCATTTCTGTTGCTGGCAATTCCTGCATCTGACAACCTGGGGATGACCTTGGACTCCTCCTTCCCTTCCTGAACAGTGTCTGAGCTCTCCCACTGTTCTAACTACAATCCATTCACTCGTTTGTCTACTCCCATGGACTTAGTCTTGTACGAGATGTTAATAGTAGTAACACGTAACATGTACTTGCCACTTTTTGTGCTGGGCGCTGTGCTAAACTCTTTACATGTGTGTTTTGCTTAATCTTTGCAAAAATGTACACAGCAGGTGGAATGTATTTCCCTTTTACAGATAAGCAAACTGAGGAATGCAGAAGTTAAATGACTTGCCCCAGGCCCCAGGTCAGCAGTGGTAGAGTTGAATTTCAAAGCCGGGTCTATCTGCCTTCACGACATGCCTGCATGCTCCTCCCGTGCAGTCTTAGGCTTCCTCATCTCAGTAGCTCCTTGCAAATACCCCTCCAGAGACAAGGCCCTCAAATAACTGATGTTGGCATCATCTAGAGACCCTGACTGGGCAGAATTTAGCAGAGGTTATGACTCCAGAAAAGCCATCTGCTATAGCTGAGTGAGATGTGCAGGTAACAGAAGATGAGCAGAGATGAGCTGCTTCTGGAATGCTGTCAGTGGAAGGCCACCCTCATGGCTTTGGGCCTGGCCGTGACCTTCTTCCAGACACAGGCTTCTGCCCAGTCCAGTGATGGGTGGGGCTTGGTGGAGGAAAGCAACACAGGAAGGTATGTGTGACATGGCTGTAAAGTCCAACTCTGCCTGTGTCCTGGACAGTGCCACCTCTTCTGCCTGGGGAGAGTGAGGTGAACTGACATTTCAGTGCACCCTGAGGTGGGAAACCCACAAATATTTTGGAAACAAGGGTTGTCACAGACCTGAAATATCTGTGCTTGGCATGTGCTTCTGAACACAGCCTGCACTCTCATAACCAAGATACAGCGTGGCCGTGGCCCATGGGTCACGTAAAACCCGACTTGCAAATATTATAAGGCTTGTGGACCAGCTGTCTCGGGAGGAGGGGACTCCCGGCAGAAACATCGGCATGCGGCATGCAGTCCTCAGGCCATCTGCAGAGCACACCAGCAGATACAAGCAGACCCTTTCTGTCTGGTAAACGGGCCAGGGCAGGGCAGACCTTCAGGAGAAAGCTTACTCACAGCTGGGTTGTCCCTGTGTAAGAAGTTGAAGGTCTTTCCAGTTGCCCCACACATGTATGTTAGAAGGTGCCTCTTAAAAATGTTCCCATGGAATAAAGGGCAACAGGGGATGACAACCAACCCTCTCCACTTTCGAATCCTGGCTTTGCCATTTTGCCGGTGGTGTGACTCTGTACAAGTCACCTGACCCTGCTGAGTCTCTTTCTCTTGATCCTCAAACTTCCCTTCTCAGGTCCGGCACTTGGAAAACTCGATTTTTTTTTTTTTTTGAGTGAGGGTCTTACTCTATCACCCAGGCTGGAGTGCAGTGGCATGATCACGACTTACCACAGCCTTGACCTCCTGGGCTCAGTCAATATTCCCACCTCAGCCTCCTGAGTAGCTGGGATCACAGGCACAGGCCACCATATCTAGCTAGTTTTTGGATGTTTTTGTAGAGATGGGGTCTCGCTGTGTTGGCCAGGTTGGTCTTGAATTTCTGGGCTCAAGTGATCCTCCCGCCTCAGCCTCCCAAAGTGCTAGGATTGCAGGTGTGAACCATTGTGCTGGACCTGGAGAATGTTCTCTGGACTCTCCCCACCTCCCACCAGCTGCAGGACAGCATTTCTTTTCTTCTCCTGGGACACACTGGGACCACACAGGCTTTATTTCCCTGCAGTCCATCTACTCTTTGCCTACTTCTTTCCAGTGTTTGGTGTGGGTTTGAAGATGTTTAGGAAAGGAAAGAAAGAAGGAAAAACCTTCAAGAAGGAAGGGAGGCACCCTAGATTTGGAAATCAGGTGAGGGAACACCATATAAAGGCTATAAGGGTGGGCTTTTGGAAGGGGTTCAGACAGTACTTGGGACTGTGACAGAGAGGTGGTCAGGGCCACTATGGGAGGGAGGCTGAGGGGCACCTGAGACAGGAGGGAGGCTGAGGGTGAGATGGGGAGGGAGGCCAAGGATGGGATGGGGAGGAAGGCTAAAGCCAGCGCCCATGATGGGAGGGAGGCTGAGGCTGGGACAGGGAGAGAGGCTGAGGCTGGCACCCGGGACAAGAGGGGAGACAGTGAGGGCACCAGGCCCTGGGCCACAGTCTGAGACTTCACCCTAAGAATGAGGATGAGTGAAACACCCACCCTGTCAATAGCACCCTACTGGGTGCTCTGGCTCCCAGCCCTGCAACCTTCTCCTTTATCAATGGTTCATGGCTGTTAACCACAAACTCTGTAGAGCCCAAAGCTCAAGAAGAGCGGCAAAACTCCACGCACACACAGATGGGCATACACATGGCTTCGCTCCGGCCCTCCCCAAAGCAAACACGCATGCCTCACCACTTTCGCCCACCCTCTGTGGGAGTCTCAGGTGCTGGGATCTGACAGCCTTGCCCCAAGGTAAACACCCTCCTCCACGGTCTCTCAGATCCCCTCGGCTCCTCCGCCTCGAAATCACGTCCACATTCCTCTCTGGGCTGCCAGTGCCAATCAAAGCCGCAGCGTGCCTTTGATGAGAGACACGGCACGCCATCTGGCCCGGCACCGGGGCGCGTGTGGAGCGGGTATGCTCGCTGTGTGGGCATTTGGCTCCAGCACAAAAGCTGCCACGTGCTGGGGAAAGTCAAATGGCTGAGCCGTCTGACCGCATGTGATTTAGCATTTGGACAGTGTCTGCTCCAGCCAGGGTCTTGGTGAGCATTCTCCCTCATCACTGGAGACTGCTGACAAGGTTTCCATTTCAGAGTCAAACATGAGGAGGGAAGAGTTGGCATGAGATGAAAGAATTGAAAGGAGAAGGAGGAGGAAGAAAAGGAGAAGAAGAAGGGAAAGGAGAACTCGAGAACTGGCCATTATAGATTCAGCACAGAGACAGCCTTGAATGCATTCCTGATGGCCCAGCCCTGCTCAGGATGATGAAACAGCAGTGGCAGTTTCCCCTTCTCCAGTTACAGACATTCTGTTCTACAAGAAGCCCACATGTGAGTGTGAACCACACACTTAATTCCATACTCTGGCCTGGTGACCGCTGGCTGGTGAAGGTCTGGGAAGACGGAAGACGTCCCCAGGAAGCCCCTCCCTCCTGCATCTGGAACCCTGATGGCACCCAGAAAGCTGCCCCATGGGAGTAGTCAGCGGGCTGGACATGTCTCATGTAAAGGCCAGTTTCTAGGGGTTTTTCAGGGTGTGGGGTAGAGGGAGCAGATGAAAGGAGGCAGAGCTTAGGTGACAATGCTGCCATCACCCAGTCTCTCCAGAGCCTCTCCACCCTTCTTCTCCCTGATCTGGACCCACAGGGACTCACCACAGGGCTCCTTCAGCTTCTGGCTTTTGATTGGATGGAAGAAGACCCAGAGACCACAGAAGGGTGAGGCTGGCATTAGTCCCTGGATCTATCCCTGTGCCCCTCTCTGCAGAGGGCCGTCCCCCCTCAGCTGCCTGTTCTGATTTCTGCCCGTGCCCTGTCCCTTGCCTGTCAGGCTTGGCTGCCCTGCTCTTACGTGCTCTGAGATGCCATGCCATGCCCTGGTGGCTTTCCTAAACCCTGTCTGTACCTTTGTTAAAAACAAAAACTCCTGTATCAAATTCTCCAGTTTGTGCCCGCTGTTTTCTCCTGGGAGTTAGATTAATGGACTATAACTTGGCGATCACTACTCTACTTCAATCTCATTCCCCAATCAGTCCTGCACATAGGATTGATGTGGAGAAAATACCTCCCAGACGGGGAGTGGTGACTCACGCCTGTAACCCTAGCACTTGCTGAGGCTTAGACGGGAGGACTGCTTGAGCCCAGGGGTTCGAGACCAGCCTGGGCAACTTGGCAAGCCCTTGTCTCTGCAAAAAATCAGAAAATTAGTTGAGAGTGGTGGTGTGCACCTGTAGTACCAGCTACTCAGGAGGCTGAGGTAGAAGGATCCCCTGAGCCCAGGAGGTCGAGGCTGCGATGAGCTGTGATTGTGCCACTGCCCTCCAGGCTGGGTGACAGAGTGAGAGACCGATTCAAAACAAAGAAAAAGAAACATGAAAAAAAAAGGATTTGGCCCAGCTGAGTGGCTCCCGCCGTCTTCCTTCTCAAAATAGCATGTCCTAGGCCCGGCTGCTGAGAGGAGGCCATAGGAGCCAGGAGGCCACACCATGAACACCACACACCAAAGGCAGCCTCTCATTCATCTGTGAGCCAAGGGCAACTCCCACCTGCCCAGCTGTCAGACCCGTCAGATCAAGGAGCAAGACCCAGCCGAAGAATGACAATAGCTGCTAATGTTTTCTGGAAGAAGGGAGGACAAAGAGGAAGGGAGGGGCGTGAAGGAAGGGGCGTGCAGTAGGTGACTATTCCCAGGGCTGTGGTCAGAGCCACTGCCACTCACGTGCCCACCTTGTCTTGCTGTATACTCATTGTCTTCGATCAGCCGGGCCAGGCCAAAGTCGGCAATCTTGCATATGAGTCCATTCCCCACCAGGATGTTGGCTGATCGCAGGTCTCTGTGGATGTAATTCATGCGCTCGATGTAGGCCATTCCTGCAGCAACCTGTGGAGAGCCAGGGAACAGGACCCGTCACACCGTGACCTGACATGCTCACATGTCATTCAAGGGGGTACCCGAAAAAACTGGAATTTATTTATAAAAAATTGCAAATTTATTCTATATGTTTAAATTTCAGTCACCTTCAGGGTCTTCTCCGTGTGATGCAATACACCCATCGAGAGGTTTTTCTCTACTGCTCAAAACAGTTTTTGAATGCATCAGTTTTGATGCCTTTTAGTGCTTCTGCTGATTTTTGTTTCTCTCTTCCACATTGGCAAAATGTTTCCCTTTGAGCATTTTTTTCATCCAGGGAAACGGAAGAAAGTTGCTTAGGGTAAGGTTGGGTGAATAGGGAGGGTGGGGCATAGGGATCCTACCATTTTTGGCCAAAAACTGCTGAATACTCAGTGTGGTGTGGACAGGTGCACTTGTAAATCACCCATCATGAAATGGGCAAATGCCTTGAAAGAATCTTCAAAAAAAAATGAACTGAAGCCAAACACAGATTCTCACAACTGTGTTAGTTGGTATACTGATGCTGATGGGTTGGTTCTTAGAACACTTATCTAGGGGTAAGCCTGTGCTACAATAAGCCCACCCTCCAAAAGATAATTCCGGTTTTTTGGGTCCCTGCCTTATACATTTACCTCACAAATCAATGTCCCCCAAGGGCCTACCTGTGCAGCCATGTCCACAAGATTTGGTAATTTGAGAGCTCTTCCTTCTCCATCTTTTAAGAAATCAAGTAAACTTCCTATGAACAAAACAGAAAACCATTTCAACTTACTTTGAAAGATAAGAATTGCCAATAGAGAGCTGTATTTGGTTTCCTTATTAAAAGTAATAAGGTAGTTGAATGGGATAATGCATCAGTAAAAGGGTTTATATAAAAAAGCAGGGTAGAAACGATTCTATACATTGAGAAGCAACAGTTTTACCTTTTAAAAATAGTGTTGATTCCACTTCTAAAGACAACAACAATTTGATAAAACTAGAAGAAATGGAATTAAGTCTCCTTTTATGCCAGAGAAAGGAACACGTGAAGACCTGCACCACTTCAATCCCATTTTCCCAAGGGCTGATGTGGGGAAAATGCAGACTAAGCTGACTGGTCCAAAATAGTGGTTCCCACCAGGACCCTGCCAGATTTGTAAATGCTCAGGGCTCATCCCAGATCAACTCAGTTAGAAACTCTAAAGGCTGGGTCTAGAAACTTGTGTTTTAAGAAGCCCTCCGAGTGATCCTAACATAAGGTAAAGTTTGAGAATTACTGTCTTAGCTTATTTTCAGTCAAGAAAACAATATCTGAGGAATATGGGTGGGGCAGATAGTTGCCCTTAATTAGATCATAGCCAGCCAAGCCTTAAATCAGACTCTGAAACAAAACAGTTGCAGAATCACAGCCACTATTATAACACAGCCTGAGGAGGCTTAGAACTGACTAACACAATGACAGAAATGATCACCTGCAGAAGCTGGAGGCCCCTGATGGTCACCGGTGATGTTTACAAAATAACCCTGGATTCAAAGGACAAGCAATGTGCCAGGGAAAAGTTCCAATTATATTTTAAAAGAAAATTCATGGAGCGTTCCATATTTAAAAAAAAAAAAAAAAAGAAAGAAAGCACATGGAAAAGAAGAATCGCACTGGCATCCTCTGATGTATCCTGCACTGCCTTTTAAGGCTGTTTCTTGTTTGGTTCATCTATTTTTTCAAAACAGAATGAACTCTGGCCTTATCCCCAACAATAATGGTTTGATTAGAGAGAGAGAGTGAGTGAATATGAGAATACTCTTTAAAAGCATGTCATTTCATCATCTGATGTTTAAGAGAGCTAGAAAAAAAAGTGAGATATTAAAATGACAGAGATGAAACTTAGCCCAGAGACCAGTGTCTGACGGAGCTTTTTGGCCCCTGTAAAAGGGATATTTAACAAAGCTGCCACATTCAAAATACCAGCAGACCATCAAGAGCCTCTGTTCCACCTGATGTCAAAAACGAGTGATTTCATGATGGACAGGTGCTTGATCCCTGACACGTGCAATGTGCAGAAGGCACAGCACTTCGCCAGGGCTTGGTGGGAATGTGTTAAAAACGCTTTCACGCATGGAGCTTCCTGACGGGGATCCTTGACTCCTCAGAGAAACCCTTGTGAGCACTAGGGGGTGGGGGCAGTGCTGCCTACCTTTATTCATGTACTCGGTTACGATGTAGATGGGCTCCTCGGACACCACCGCGTACAGCTGGACCAGCTTGTCATGCTTCAGCTTCTTCATGATCTGCGCCTCCTCCAGGAAGGACTCGGGGGACATGGTGCCTGGCTTGAGCGTCTTTATGGCTACTTTTGTGTTTCCATTCCAGGTACCTGCAAACATCCCACAACATTAAGTCAGACCAAAGAACCTCTTTTGACGGGAGGAAAAAAGTTTCTGACCAACAGCTATTTGCATCAAGTTAAATTTTAAGTTTATAAAACTTAATATAGCTCTTGTTGAACAAAGGCAGTTAATTGCAAGGACTCAGTCAAGTATTTTGACAGGAAAACTGTGTCTACTTATGGCTATGGACACTTATGGCTATATTAAGGTTTGTAATTCATCTTCTTTTTTTTCTTATTTTGAGACACATCACTCTCTTTTCTGGCTCAGTCATATAATTACAAATTTATACCAAAAGCTCTGAGCCCATGTTTATAGTGATAAAAGTCTAGGGGTTAGAACAGGCCTGGCCATCCAACAGTCGTCCCTCAGGTAGTGAGCACAGATGAAATAAGATTATTTAAGTTTATAGGATGTGCCATTTAAGAAATTTGGCAATGCACTGAGGACATCTGGAAATCACCCCAGCCTCTCGATTGTCTGTTCTGAACGAGTGACTTGACTGAGTCCTTGCAAGGGTGAGCCCACATGCTGATGAGCACTGGCGAGGAGCTCAGGACCCTTTGCCAGGACTCCAACCAGGTAAGGCAAATTCCTCGGGTTACTGATGTCAGCCATGGCAAGAGTAATGGCTTCTATCAGGAGGACTGGGGGAATGAACAGCAGCTGGGAGGGAGCAGAAATGTCTAAACTGAACATGTTTAAAAAATCTAGTAAATTGGAATGCAAGACCTGGTTTAAAAATCACCATCAGTTATCTCATCTGTAAAATACAGAAATGGGACTGGGCTATCTTTTGTCTCTTTCGGCCCCAATATTAAAAAAGTAAAACCTAGGTTCTATACGTAGTCCATTATTAGATCCGTGACTTTAGAGAGCAACTTTATAAAGGGGAAACATTCTGCTAATTGACATTATTTTCTGTTTGAAAAAGATGACTGGTTTAAATTAAAATTTATTTTTATATTTAATGTAATTGGTTTTAGAACTTGAGAATTCTGTAAATTGGAGCAATTTTTGTTATCCTATTAAAAACACATTTCATAGAATTACAAAAATATAAACTATGAAAAAACAAATGGCTTAAAGAAGAGTTAGTTTAAGTCTCATAGAATATCTGCCCACCGAGTGCACATAGGAAATTTGAAAATTTGTAAGTAATCTTTGCTATTTAAGCGTTAGCACACAACATTTTAAATACAGTGAAATCTTCCTCCCTAGTACCAGGCTGGTTAATTACATAGGTATCCATCCTGATTCCAGTGGGCACGCTGTCTTTTGTTAAGTGGGAAACAAAATGTGAATGGTATGTGTAATGATTTAAAGCTGACAATTATAAAGCTTGAAAATAAATTTTCTTGTAGGGTCCAGTTCTTCCTGATTAAAATCCTTAAGATGTGAAGGAAGCAAGAAGGAGGGTTCTGTGAGCATCAATACTGTTTTCTTGACAGATGTAGCTGGGTGGGGCCAAAGTCTGTGTGTCTCTAAGCAAAGCTGCTACTGGCCCAAAGGATTATAAAACAGTTTCAAGGGCACAGTGCTGTCGGCCTTATCAGTGACAACCAAGAAAGAAATGTTTGTGTGTCCATTGAACACCTATTGTCTGCAAAGGACTTTAAATACATTATCCTGTGTCATTCAAAAATCAGTCCTATGAAGCAAGTATCACTCTAATTTTACAGATGAAAAAACTGAGCTCAGAGAGGTTATTAAGCCTCTTGCTCACAGTTAATCAGCTGGTGAGGATTTACACCCAGGCGCACAGAACAAAATGCCCATGGTCTTCCTTATGGCGTCCATGTGTGGTATCTTACCTTCCTGCCTCTTAGGAGAGGACGCCTCAGATTCACAGTGCACTGTTTCCTGTCCTGTGGGTGCCTTTATTCACCACAAGAAGCAGGACAGCTGCGCACAGCAAGGGGTTCCCATGTTCTGAAAATCTGGATGACCTGTGCCCATTTGGTCATCAGGGAAAGTGTCTTTGTGCAAAACCATCCTTTAACTGGCTTTGAAATGCAGCTGAAATGCAATGTGCCCTCTGCCTTACCAAGCCACACTTCAGCGAAACACCCCTGACCCAGCTTCTCCTCCAGAAACAACGAGTCACGTGCAACTTCCCAAGCATCTTTAGCCAGTCCAGAAGTTTGTGGGGTACAACTCGATGCAATCACAGTTAAGTTAAAACACAAACCATCAGCTTTCTCTATAGGAAAAGGAATTAATAAAGAAAACACAGTCCTTATAATCCATAATCATGCATGCACTGGAAAGATGGAAGGTGACATTCGGCAAATGCTTGCCTTCAGAAATGAAGTTCAAGACTGTCTGTGCAGGCTGGGGCGTTCCTCATACCATTTGCCGGTTTATGGATTGAGGCTCCTGTAATTGTACAATCTGAGTCATTTGCCAATTTTGCCTGCTTGCCATTTCTTTTCTAAAAATTCCAGAATTTTAAAACCGAAATCAAAATTCTCATTTCCCTCTATAAGGAATCAAACATCCTTCCTGGGTGTAATGCCTTTATTTTCACCTTCCATCTTTGACGTTTGGGGTTTCCCAAACGAGGAAGCCAATAGGAGAGTAATTGAGTCTCAGCATACCCATCCATACTTCCCCAAACTGCCCATTTCCCAGTCTCTTGATCAACTGCAGGGATTCTCGAGGGATTTCCCAGACATCTTTGGTTTTGACAGACAGATCGGTAAGCCTTGGCATCCCTTTGTGACAGGGAACGACTAGGCGGCAGCAGAGGCCTGCGGCTCTCTCTGATGGAGCAGGCGGCAGCGGGCAGGGAGAGAAGAGCAGAACATGTAACAACAGCACTCACAGGTTACACCCGCACCAACGCTGCTTGCGGGGGCTACACCAACAGATGCGCTGGAGCGGCAGACATCAACACGCGGAAGCACTGCCACTGGGGCAGAATGCAGGACATTTCAAATGTGGGTTACTCCAGTCCCAGGTGTGAGACAGTTTATACACAGATACTGACATAGGCTGCTTCAGTTTCTGTACTCACAGAGTGAGAGGAACATTTCCAGCCCAATGTGCTAATAACAAGTCTTCTGAAAACCCGAAAATACCCTTGACAATTTTAAAAAGTTGCATCTGGACTGAAGAATGTTGACATGACTGTCCTTTCCCCACCTCCAATATCTAGATTAAACAGGGGGTTGGGGATCTTCCTGTATGATTAGACTGTATTTAAAATTATAACTTTAGGACAGAACATTAAAGTGTCATAAACTAGTGAGGCTGAAGATTATACTTGGTGGGGAAAAAAGAGGTCACGTTTTTCTAGTGATTTCTTTGGCTTTCTAATTGACTCTTTTCTATCTGTCAGATATTCTTGAACTGCTTCTTTGATATTTTTCATTTAAAAAATCTTTATAACAGTCTCTGATATATAATTTAACTGTCTGGTTTGAAAGGAGAAAGAATGGAAACTAAAATTTGCAAAAACTCAAGGTTGTGAAAGAATTCTGTTCCTTATGACAGAGAGGAAGGAAAAGAATAGTTATTATTCGGAAGTTATTGGGAGGTTTTTTTTCCCTCTCTATTTCCTTTTTTCTTCTTAAAGAATACATCTTTTAGACTCTAGCAGACATAGCCGGGAGTTGGTGGATCATGCCTGTAATTCCAACACTTTGGGAGGCTTGAGGCTAGGAGTTTGAGTACAGCTTGGGCAACAAAGTGAGACCTTGTCTCTACAAACAATAGAAAAAATTAGCCAGGTGTGTTTGCATACACCTATAGTCCCAGCTACTCAGAGGCTGAGGCAGGAGGATTGCTAGACCCTTGAAGCTGCAGTAAGCTGTGGTTGTGCCACTGTACTCCAGCCTGGGCAACAGAGTGAAACCCTGCCTGAAAAAAAAAGAATCTAGCAGTGATAAGGGGAAATTAACTAAAGGCCAAGTAAACATCAGGTAGGGGAGAAAAGGTAACAAAGAATAAGAGATCAGGGATGTGACAAAAGCTGCAGAGAGTGTGGTCTACGAGGTAGACAGACACAGCTTGGCCCCCGGAAGCCCCGGGACCCAGGAAAAGCAAATGCAGTGTTGCTTTTTCTTTGGGAGCTAGCTGCAACTTCTTTTTTACTCCTTTCCTTCTGATGGAATTAAGTTCTGAGATGTTTAGGCAGGAAATTATTTATGTGTATTTTTCAAAGGTGTTTTATCGTGTGTGAGAGAGAAAAAGGCAAGGAAAAGCCAACATAAAAGCTGATCGAGATGACTTTGTTTCTGAGATTAAAAAATATCCATTGTTCTTGCTACCCCTTCCCTCCTTCCAGCTCTGGGCTGTTATTAAGGTGCCCTTTCCAACACAGCATTTTCAAATGGCCCAAACCCTGGGGACTTGCTGGTTTTTAGCTGTAATAAAATATATTTCAGTATTTGAAAAATCCTTCCAACGTGCAGGCGCTTCAAGTAGATTGCTTAAGCTCAAGGAGATATTCTGTTCTGTTTTTCCCAGCTGTTTCATTGGAATCCACATAGGCCAGATTAGCTAAGGCCACAACCAATGAGCACGCTAAGGGTTGTTAATATCATCAATTAGTGCCCAGGGTCAATATACGGACATTTCTAATTATCATTTTCAAAAGATGGCTTTTTTGTACTAAAAAGTATACACACATATTTTTCAATGAATATGCATAGAGCAATAGTAGAGATAAATCAAGTACTATTTTTGAGTGTGTCATTGTCTTGAAGAACAATAGAAAATGTATAGCTGAGTCTCACATAGGGTGCCAGGGATCAAGGATCTAGAAGCATGCCTGTGTGTGTATGAATCAGGTAGTGGGATATACATGCTTGTCTAGGAAAGAAAGTGGTCATTTAACAACTGCACATAAAGCCGCATTTTTAAATAAGATGTACAAATTGCATACCTAAACACCTAATAATTACATATGTTTTCTGGGACAACAAGATAATGGTGACATCTGGGTATTAGGTGAGAGACTATCTACTTTGAAAAAGCTGAACTTAAGGGATGCTATTAGATCTAAGAGCTATGGGCCATGTACGTGTAAGATCAGGTAGAAAACAACTCTTGGTGGGAGTGGCCCATGATACACGGGCTGCAGGAGAGTGAAATGCACGTGCGGCCGTTCCCGTGACAGTGCTGAGTGTGCATGGTGGCAGAGACATGACATTCCCTATAGAGTCTCCATGGAAGTGCCCTCCCAGGCACCGCGCCCTCCTCTCACGGTGCTGAACTACACTATGCTGGGGATGGGAGGAGATCATGTTGTGTGGATTTTAAGAGAAAGATGAAAACACAAACACTTAAAAAAGAAACCTATTGCTTTCTACTTGGGGGACTAGAATATTATAGAAGCTTCTGACAAACATACGGAATTAATAAAAACTACGGTAGAACAACAGCAATAGAACCTGTCGGCCAACCCCCCACTGGTAGCAGAGAGAAACATTTTCCCAGGGACTTCACATGCGTCTGTTGTGCCCCTTCTTCCACCCGGCCCTTTTTGCTCTGTGTTGACCCATTCCCGCCAGCGACCAAATGGTTAGCAGAAGTCAGAATGCAGGTTACCTGAGTAGTGCTGTACGAGTTGCTGAAGGGTTTCAAACTGGGCCCGGGTGGTGATATAGTACCCACCATTGTCAAGTTTGCGAATTTTATAATGTTTGACGTGGTCTCCTTTCATATCATCCCAGTCACGGATGGAAAGTGAATAGGCACCTGGTGAGAAGACAGAGCATGGCAGCGCCCGTCATCTTGAGTACTGGCTTGTTTCTCAGGTCTCATTCACTCGACTGTTCTGATTACTAATCACCAAGGGCATGCATATAAGCATGCACACGTGTGTGCACACATGTATGTACACATGCTTATGAGTGTGTGTACACACATGCATGCATGCACATACACACACGCAAGTACAAGTGCACACACATATAGGCACCCACACACATGGGCACCACACACACACACACACACAAACACACAGCATCTCCACTCAGTAACAGGAAGATGCCTCTTGTTGTCATGCAAACAGCAGAGGATATTAGCAATAAAATGATTCTGCCCTTGAGACTGAAAACTTCCTGGGTATCTTGCTAAAATACTCAGTTCAGTACCCTCTGAACTAATACAGTGGAGACACAGTTCTGACACCCTCTCTCCCACCCCCGCAATCCAAGCCAGGAGAAGTGAGATGATGCATGACTAAGCTCGTGTCCCATGTCACCTTCACCCACGGACATGGGGAGGTGGAGGTAGCACATGCACAAGAAAGTCAGGGATGTTTCTCCATGCAAGCGTCAAGTTTCTGCTTTCCAATGTTTTTTATGCCTCTAACAAGTAGCATCTGAAGCTGAAACTAGACATCAGAATACTACTCTTTTCTTCTTGACTGTCTCCTCTTGTGGGCTCTAATGAGCTGTTAAATATTGAAAAGGACAACAGCTGGAGGAAGAACGTCCTCAGTTATTAAGAAAACAAAAGGAAAGCAAAAACAACCTGAGCAGCCAAGATTTCCAGAGAATCCCAATTCTGAAGGGCTTCTGAGAGCCCTTGATCTCGTGAGCCCTGAGCAGCAAAGCTGCTGGGCCTGTGTTTCAGGGAAGGGCCTTGTTGGCGCCTCTGTGGTTTTAGATGCTGCCTGCAATTCTGGAACCTGAAGGAAAAACTGAAAATAGAACTCAACCACGAGGCAGGGAGGATATACACCATTTACAGTCCCTGCACAGCAGAAACGGGTCTTTCATCCTCTGACTAATCTGCAGATCTGAGTGACAAGTCAGCTCTTCAACTCATCTTACCTTTGGTGGTTTCACTCTCGCGGATAAGAAAGGTACCTCTTGGGTTTCCAAAGGACAAGAGCTGTCGCTCAGCATCTTTTCGGCCAAGTTTTCCAAAGTACCACCTTTAAATGAGATCAAGCAAAGAAATGACTAACAGTCATCAACAGTGTTGGCTTCTCTGCCTGTCCTTCCAGTGCTGTCCTCAGCCTCTCTGCATGTACTAATTTCTAATTCCGTTCAGTTCTTCCAATCTCTTCCCAGTTCCATCCCTGATCCAATTCTCATGCTTGAAAAAATCAGATTTGAATTGTGGTTTGTTTTCCTTCCCTCCAGACATGACAAGAACCAGCTTGTGTTAAAACTGCTGCCTGCATGCGCTAATGAGAAATCTAAGACCTTGTTCTGAAGTGGCAACCACGAGAGACCCCTCCCAAGCGCATCTAAAAGACCCTTGATTTCTGGGCATAATGATAACTCCTGGGAAATAACAAAACACAGTCTTAGTGTATAGGAAGACTGTTAATCAAGCATTTAGAAAAAGTCAGAATAGATGAAGAATAAAGCCATGATATTCTTAGTAACTTCCTACCTACAGGAACTATGAAAAAAAGTCAGGATTATCTCTAAGTGAATGACTGCTGTCCTGGGGGGTGTGCTTGCATTTTCTCTCTCCTCCCCAAGCATGAGGACTTGGTAAGCGAAGACCTTTTTCAGGGCCCTGGACTGTGAGCTTCTGTATCTCCCCTCTGGCACAGCTGCAGGAACGCATTACTGTGCGCCTTTGGGATCTGTGCCTAGTCGGCGAGTGCTCCCTTAAAGATGACTTGATGACGTGGCATTTTCATCTTCTCGCTGAGCAAATTAATGACACTCCCGGCCACATTCAGGGCCTCACATGAAGTCACCCCAGGATGTTACAGCCTGTGGCTCCCTCCCCGACGTGTCTGGCCTCAAGCGCTGCCTGGTAATTAGTTACGGTGCACATAGCACTGGACGCTGCAGGAGCAGCAGGGGCCCCAAGGAACCCTAGAGAGAATCCCGGATCATCCCAGTGGAATCTGTGCGTGGGACTAATTTGAAGAATATTTCACTGTGGAAGGATCCAGTTTCTAAAATTAAATTTCAATTCATTATACTTGAACATAGATATCATGTGTTCACTGTCAAAGCCTTTTGTGAAGGAAAGAGTTTCGCTGACGGTAAGAAAAGACACCCTGCATGTTAGTGCCTCAGTGACTCTTAGAGTACCAGAATGGGTGAGGTCTGGCACTGGTTGGTGTGAAGAGTACACCAATTATTTGTGAGAAATGACTTTCTGAGTGTGTATCTACACCCAATTAAAATGCTGTATAAAACAGCAGTAAATTGTTAGAATGATGGATTGCACCCAAACAATAGTATTTTAAGATAATGATAGTTAAAAGCATATGTAAAACCATAGGCATTGTTTTAAAAAATATTTTAGCGCTGGGCATGGTAGCTCATGCCTGTAATCTCAGCACTTTGGGAGGCAGAGGTGAGAGGACTGCCTGAGCCCACGGGTTTGAGACGAGCCTGGGCAACTTGGTGAGACCTCGTCTCTACAATAAATCAAAAAATTATCTGGGTGTGGTGACACACGCCTATAGTTCTAGCTACTTGGAAGGCTGAAGAGGAAGGATCACCTGAGCCCAGCAGGTTGAGGTTGCAGTGGCCATGAGCATGTCGCTGCACTCCAACCTGGATTACAGAGTGAGACTCTGGCTAAAAAAAAAAAAAAATTGGTCTTTAAAAACAAAATATTTAAAAAGTTGATCATTATAAATATAACTTAAATATATAGCTAGTAGGTTGCCAGTTAAATCAAAGTAATGCCACATTTTGGTGGTACCTTTTATTCTGAAAGATGTTTGCAAATATGTTCCAAAGTAAAATTTCAGTACAAATACTTTCATTCACTGATGATGAAACACATTCACTAGGAGAAAAAACAGCTCAGAACCACTGAGTATTTGAGAGTAAGAAACAAAGCAGATCCTCTTAGAGAAAATACAAGGAAATTAAAGATGAAAACGACCCAACTGGAGGTTTGGCTGGGTGTGGAGGCGAATCTCCCCGGCAACGCTTACACAAATCCACGGCAAGATTAAATGTCAGAGTCCACGCCTGGTTGGGTGGCTGGCTTTTCCTGACTTCCTTTCTGAAGAGGTGAGCCCCAAGGCCTCAGGGAGGAGGCCAAGTTCCTGCATCTAGGAAATCATCGCTCCACCTCCGTCTTCCTCAGTTCAGAAGTTAGGGCTGGGACACAAGCCACCCTGACTGCCTCCCTCTGTGAGTGCCTTGTAATCCTGGAGGTCAGGAGAAGGGACAAGGGTCCCCTTCTGGATCCCCTTGGCGTGTTGACCACCTTCTTTTTTTTTTTTTTTGAGTTGGAGTCTCACTCTGTCGCCCAGACTGGAGTAGTGCAATGGCTCCGGCGATCCTTCCGCCTCAGCCTTCCAAGTAGCCGGAATTACAGGCATGTGCTACCACGCCCAGCTGATTTTTTTGGTTTATTGCAGAGATGAGGTCTCGCTGCCCAGGCGGGTCTTGAACCCACGGGCTCAGGCAATCCACTCACCTCAGCCTCCCAAAGGTGCAGCATTACAGGCTGAGCCACCAAGCCTGGCTTGACCACCTTCTTAAACCACTATAAATTGAATGCCTGTGCCAAATAACCACTGGTCACTATTTATAATCAAGGAAACTAAGTGAAGTCCCAAATCAAAGGAAAGGACCTTTTGAAATTCACTGTCGGGTCTCCCAGCTGAGGGACACACTGTGTGAGATGCTTTTACCTGGGGCACGGAAGGGGTATCTTTCAGCATCCTGACATTTCTGATTACTTTCAGGAGAAAAATATTGGTTTAATCTGTGATTATTCCTTGCCTCACCCTTTCTCGAGCAGAGGCTGCAGGCTTAGAAACTTGGGTCAGCTCTCGCTAGAATTTCATCAAATTTTTTAGTAACTTTCTATGCCAAGCTATATTGGGTTTTCACTTAGGGTAATGATATAAAGTTTCCTTTCAAAATAAGTATGTTTTTAAAAAGTGAGCAGGGCCAGGTGGTGGCTCACGCCTGTAATCTCAGCATTTTAGGAGACTGAGGCAGGAAGATTGCTTGAGCTCAGGAGTTCAAGACCAGCCTGGGCAACATAGTAAGACCTTGTCTCTTCAAAAGATAAACAATTAGCTGGGAGTGATGGCACAAACCTGTACTCCCAGGAGGTTGAGGTACTCAGGAGGTTGAGGTAGAAGGAATGCCTGAGCCCAGGAGGTTGAGGCTGCAGTGAGCTATGACTGTGCCACTGCACTCCAGCCTGGGCAAGAGAGTGAAATCCTGTTTCTAAAACAACAACAACAACAAATAAAAAGTGAGTAGGCTTAAAGAAAAGCATTAAGTTAGTAATAGTGCAAGTGTTGCACAGATATAGCAGAAACCTGAGAATCACAGACTGAAGACATTCCTTCCGTGCCCAGGGAGAAGGGTCTCAACAGTGTGTCCCAAGACCTGGGGAACACTACAGTGATGGTGCTCAAATAGTCCTTTCCTTCTCTTTGGAGCTCACTTAGTTTTCTGGTAGTAAACAGTGGCCAGGGTGATTTGATCCAGGTATTTACCTGGTAGCAGACTAGGAAGGAGCTCAACATGCTGAGGCGATCCAGAAGGGATAACCCTCGTCCCTTCTCCTGACCTGGGGGCACTTGTGGGCCCTTCTGATATTCTCCCAACCCTTAACCACTCTGGTGAACTTCTCCCTCCTGCCCAGTGTTAATGGCATTGCATTGTGGCAGCCGACTTTTAAAAGCAAGTAGTTGAGTGAAAATAAAACCAAGCCTACTCTTCTGCCTGGATCGAGTCGACCGGAGCCACGTAGTTGCTGGGGATGTAGCCCGTCTCTCCAGTGGTCAGGGAGCGTGCTTCCCACCAGTCTCCTTCCCTGTGAAGAAAGAAGAGAGCGGTGAGCATGTGGGCCAGTGCAGCAGCCTTCAGGCAGAGAGTCGTGCTGCCTGAGGCGTGTGACCGTCATCGCATCACTCTGCCACCTGACTTCTCTAAGCTCCAACAAGGTCCCCTGCCCCCGACTTGGTGAAAGTCAGAAGGTTATGTCCGAGTCAGCCATGAGATGAATGCAGGGTCACCTCTTGCCTTCTTTGTGAAGTAAGAATGTAGGACCTTGGCCACGAGAGGCCTCTCTTGGGGGGAGGGACATTTTGCCTGGCAAGTGTCCCCGACTTGGGCAGAGAGGAAAGGAATCCTGCCTCAGTTTACTTAAGAAAAAGACCACAGGCCAGGTGTGGTGGCTCATGCCTGTAACCTCAGCACTTTGAGAGGCTGAGGTGGGAGGACTGCTTGAGCCCAGGAGTTTGAGACCAGTCTGGACAACATAGGGAGACCTTGTCTCTACAAAAAATAAAAACAGTGGGGCGTGGTGGTGTGTGCCTGTAGTCCCAGGTACTTAGGAGGCTGAGATGGAAGGATCGCCTGAGCCTAGGAGGTTGAGGCTGTGGTGAGCCGTGATGGTGCCACTGCACTCCAGTCTGGGCAGCAGAATGAGACCTTGAGTCAAAAAAAAAAAAAAGAAAAAGAAAAAAAAAAACCCATCACAGCTGCAGACCATTGGAATGAGAAGCCCAGCAGAAGAGCTGGTGAGCGGGACACACACTCTGAATACTGCCTTGCTTGGCTCAAGAAAATGGGGGGCCACCTTGCTGCAGGCAGAAGGACGAATGCTTCTAGGACACGCCCTCCTGGCAGTTTCAATCTGAGGCTGCTCCATCCACATCCAGAGTGCTGGCCTGAGGATGAGGGGCAGGAGAGGGAGGGTGGGAGTAGCCGCCAGGGCATGTGGGAACTCGGGGTGGGGCTGGCAGGTCATAGGATGGTCTCCATTTGGGGAGCTCTCGGGGGACGTCAGAGGTGAGCCTGTGACGCTCCTCTCTGCTGAAAGTCTGTGAGCACATGGAACGGTTCAAGTTCACACGTTTAGATCCATGCAAGTTTGCATGCGGCAGAGCAGGGAAGGCGTGTTCCCATCGCGAGGCCCACCTTGTGGGGCTGTAGCGTCGACGCTGGCTGAGTGGCTGCAGAAGCTTCCAATTGCCATCCGTGGTCAGGAGCACAGGGCAGGGAGGGCATGGCTGTTTTGAGTCGGTCAGACCTCTCAGACCATAACTGCCGGGGCCCACTGCCATCTCTCCTCCTTTTTTGGTCCTTGGAGGCAGCAAGAGAAACCCCAGGCCTCTTTTAAATCATTTTTTTGGTTGGGCTCTGGGTCAGAGCCTTCAGCCGAGAAAGAAAACGTGTGGACTTCTGGCTGTGGTAAAGAGCCTCCTGGACTGACTGGCTTAGGGAGAGGATTGCCAGCCTCCACATCAGACTCCAGCCTTGCTCCCAGTCAGCTCTCTGAAGACGATTCTCTGAGCACTAACCCCAAACAGGATTTAATGGAGCAAAGAGCGAGGCCACAGGGCAGTGTGTGCTGTGGCACAGGAGTGGGAAAGTTGGGATGGCGCAGGTAACAGAACTGCCACACAAATGCTGGTGCCAGCAGAGGGTTTTAAAAGAGTAGTTTTTAACTGGCTCCCAGTCTCTCCTTCTTACCCTATTAAACAAATACATCAAAAGGAGAATACTCCTCATACCAGAAAGTCCTTTATATATAGCCTTAAGTTTCGTTCATGCCCAGATTTTATTGTGAGATGTTTGCACATACCCAGGAATAGCTGCGCAGTATATGCAGACAACTGTGAACCCCCGCCGGGCTGGAGAATAGATGGGCACCCACGGGTGGGATTTGCACAGTGCTGCCCCCTGCCGCAGGCATTGCTCTGCCTTTCAGGTTCAAATCATGAACTTGAACATGTTAACACTGTTAACAGTTTTGACTGGTCTCATTTCTATGCCTCCTGAAAGAACACATGCATTTGTAAGGATATCATCTAAGAACATATGTGGACGTTTATTTTTTTCTTTAAACACATGTGTTAAGGAAACGGCTCTGGACACATAATCCTCACTCTAATATGGTGATTTTTATGGCTCTGAAATTCCACTAGATGGAGACATTTCATCATAATAAATAATACTCATGCTCTCGCTTCCCCCACTCCTTCCCGCCCCCAATCTGGGACATGCTCCAAAATGGCCAGGAAAAAACTAAGTGCTTGTAGCAGAGGCTTATTTTTTAATGTGCAATAACAGGTTAGTTCTAATTGAATTAAATTAAGAAGAAAGAAGGCTCCCATGGGTCTTAGGAGATGTGAGAATGCCAACGGGGCCAGGAAGCCAACACATTTTGCTGCAGGTTGGGACAAGCCCAGTTGGATTCAGGTGAGCTGGCATTGATGAAGTCATTTCCAGTTTGAACCTAGCACTGACGATCTCATTTGGGTCCAGGCACCTAATAGTTTAGCACAGATCAGAACTCAATGATCAGCTCGTGCAGAAGTTATGAACCAAGAATTCATGATTTCCGTTCCTGACCCCATTAATCTTGCAAGGGTTTCCAGCTACTTGTGAGAAAGATTTCTCTTTTTCTAGGGATCCAGGATCCCTTTCTCCATCAAAGGAGACATGAGGTGGCAAAGAGTGAATGTATTATGTGGAAAAGCTCACGTGTGGAGCCCCCGAGGCTGGTGTAGACTCAGAACACTGTCCACAGTGGCTGAGCAGGTGAAGAAGTCATCTTTGTAATAAGCTAGAAGCATCAAATTCACCCAAAAGCCAAAGGTCTATAAATCATGTTGACTTAGGAAACAGGCTCTTGACTGCTACCTTTTATGTCTTGAATTATTGTGGGCAATTAGCATTACGGAAGCTGCATTTCTTGAAACTTTTCTTATTGTTCAGATTTTTCATTAATTCCCACTTGGTAAAATCTTCTTTGTTATCTTCCTCTTATTCAAATACACAATTTAAAGCCTAGCACTGGGTTAGAATGACTTGTAAGTCTTCATAACAGCTCCACCTGTCCTTTTGATGTAAGGACTTATTAGAATAGCCTGTCCTAAATCCCTAAAGCTGCTCCTAGGGCTTGTGGTCCCACGAGCTGGGAGCCCAGGAGCCTTGATGGACCCCAAAGTGGCACTTGCCAACAGAAGTTAGCCTTGACCTGCCCAGGCCTGGGGCATTTTTGTTATAAATTTTGAATCCTTTCCAAATATAGTCACTCCCACCTTACTGTCAGAATATTGGTGACAATTTAGACAAATATTAGGGTGGGGCCCTAAACCAGGATTTCTTCTGATCATGATAGTAAAAAACTGTCCAAGGCAATAACCACTACTCCACTCTGTGTAAAACATTTATTATATTTTAAAGAGTCACTGTTTCTAGATAGTAAATCACGAGTCATGAAATGTGAAACAGGGAATAAAGTCAATGAGCTTAAATATTTTGCAACTAACAATACCCTAGTACATTATACTAACTTACAACAGGTCACCCACACCGAGGAATTACAACGGGGTCACTCACACCGAGCATTTACAACGGGTCACCCACACTGGCGCTTATGATGGGTCATCCACACTGAGCACTTACCATGGGTCACCCATATGAAGCACTGACCACGGGTCACCCACACCAAGCACTTATAACAGGCTGGGCAGCAGAAATGCCCCTCTGGGAACACAACACAGGCTTATCCTAGGTTTTATGCTGCACTTCAAAACACAAAATGCCAGCCCTGTGGCCTCCAGTCTGTTTCTCTTGACAGTGGCAGGGAGTGGGAGGACATACACTGGGGGGGTGGCAGCTGCCCAGCCCCCGTCCTCAGAGTTGGGAGAGGTGGGAGAGCAGCCGCAGGCAGCTACTTCCACGTCCTGCTGTGTTTTTCTTCCCGATCATCCCTCCCCTGTTACTGCCCTTGACTTCAGGATATTGTATTTGCTGCCCAAACCCTGTTTTTCTTTTCTACAACCTTGAGAAAGGGCGTTTAAATTCCACTGATGAGGAATCCACTGGTCAAAGGAGAAACATTCAGGGCGAAAGACCTCTGTCATCTTTTCCCCTGCAGACAGTGTCGGAGGCACAGCCTCTCAAATACCAAAGGCCATGCATGCAAGTCACAACATAGTGATGAGATCCTCCCTAAATGTTTCTCCAAAATTTCAATTTGATGACACCGCAGACCTTTCCAGATTAGCAGAGGAAGAGATTATGGATCCGATAGTGATGGGAACTGACGTTCCTGTACCCTGCGACTAGTGCACAGATCCACCTGCAGGGAGGAGGTAGCTGGGGGCGGGGCCTCCCGACACCCCATGTCTCTTTCCTTTTACAATTCACAAATAGTTTAAAACTGTCTAATTCAACTTGGTATTTAGGGAATACTGTATAAACTGGGAGGGGATGTGGGGTGTTTTTGGAATTCCAAGTTAATAGACTCCGACAAAAAGCTTTAATCTGAGAACCAAACCCAACAAGGAGGCAAGACAATTAGATCACAACCGACTCCCTCTGCCCACCTCCTGCCGGCCCTCAGACTTCATGGAACTGAGCTAGCTCAGTCCCTTCTGATGGGGTGGTTCACATCTGATGCTGTCTCAGAAACCTTCCAGTCTACTGGACTCTGCTGCCTGCCAGCTCTGTGCCCATGAGCAGCTCCTTGACCCAGGCCTTCCTGCTCCTGGGATGTCAGGTGAGGGCCACGGGACACACCGCAGTTGCGTGGAGAGGAAGTGAGAACATTTGTAACGTGCACCCGGCTGGCACACAGGAGCCTGCAACCAAGGGCAGCTGCTTGCTATTTTTAAAACTCCCGTGGCTTCAGGTGGAGGCTCCTGGGGGGGGAGCGGGGGGGCGACAGTGATGCCCTTGACCTGGCGCTGTTGCACAGGCATGTTCAGTTGGTGAAAAATCAGCAAACTGTATACATGTAAAAAATTGTGGCAAAGTGTATGTAACATAAAATTAATCATTTTAATTGCTTTTAAGTGTTCAGTTGAATGGCAGTAAAACATTCACACTGTTGTGTAATCATCAGTACATATACAAATACTTTTCTGCATGTATTTCAATAAAAAGTTTTATAAAAGGCCTCTGTTAATGAGACCATTAATGGTGTCTCATGCCTGCAATCCCAGCACTTTGGGAGGCCAAGGTGGGAGGATTGCTTGAGGCCAGAAGTTTGAGATCAGCCTGGGCAACACACTGAGACCTTGTTTTTTCCAAAAAATGAAAACAATTAGCTGGGCATGGTGGTGCATGCTTGCAGTCCCAGCTACTCGGGAGACTGAGGTAGAAGGAGCGCCTGAGACCAGAAGGCCGAGGCTGCAGTGAGTTGTGATCATGACACTGCACACCAGCCTGGGTGACAGAGTGAGACCCTGACTCAAAAAACAAAACAAAACAAAACAAAACGGAATAAAACAAAATAAAAACAACCCCCCCCCCCCCCCCCCCCCCGTGGCTACATAGTGTCTTCTGATGTTTAGCAGAGTTGTTGGCCTCTGGAGGTGAGGTTCTTGCTGCTGAAAGGTGGCATATCCTTGGTGCACGGCTGAGAGCCAGGGGGCATCCCCAGGAGGGGGTGGGTTTTCACCATGGCAATTTCTAGGCCTGAGGGGGTCCCTTGTGACAAGAGCACTCCTCCCCTGGGATTTGCATGTGAGTGGGCAGCCTTTATGGCCCCTGGCTGTCTGAGAAGGCCGCAGAGCCAGGCTTCGGGCTTCCACCATCACGACACCCGGCCTGCTCAGAGACAGAGCAGAAGCACCAGACTTGGTGGCACATCCCCATGGGGATGCCGGAGGTGCCTGGATGCTGATGTGAGACCTTGCCATGTTCTTCAGTGTCTAGGCTTTTCTGAAGGGCCTCATCCCTGCACACTGCCTCCATCTGACGAAGGTGAGGTTTAGAACCCGGGAAAACCCTACCTATATTCCCTCTTCCTTAAGGAGGCGCTGAATATAGGATCTGAACACTTGGTGCCATTTCACTGCTTATTCAGCAGCTGTTCCTACTGGCCACACAGTGTGGCCACTCACGCATGGGTGAGACCGTGCATCCTTCCCACTCACAAAGATTTCAGACACTCCCAAATTTCTATCACAGGGACATGCCTCCTCAGGCCTCACCCACTGGAAAGTTGAACAGTTTTTTAAAAAAGTAGAAGGAACTTGTCGCCAGCCTCAAGCGAGACCCAGCTAGTGAACGCTTGAAATGTGAAGAGAATCTCTGGGCAGAGAGCATGTGCGTGGGTGGCCAGGCCTGTTCCCATCAGTCGAGACTATAGCTGCGTGGGGCACTTGGGCAGTGGAGGTGAGGCTGGAGCCTTTACAGTCTTTAAATCAAACCTAAACCAGAACACAGCCTTTGCTATGAGGTAGTCTCCAAGTCTCCCTGGATACACAGGGCTCTAAAGTGCTGCATCGTGTCACAGACTCGTTTCATATCACGGTGCCATGAGCCAGTGACATCAGCACATGGTCTCCTAGCATTTTAGACACCCGAGGTGGTGCAGACAGGTTAACAAAGCCCCTTCCCAGTCTTCAAAGCGCACGCCCCTCCTGTCCCAGACTTACGAGCTGTTCAGTATCTGAAATTTTTCTCCTTTGTGAAAACTCAGGTCATCTTCTGTCCGTGCTTCATAGTCATAAAGGGCCACAAACAGTGTCACTCCTGACAACACAAAATCAGAAGGTGGAGGTTAGGACACAGGGGAGATGAATTCCAAGACATTAAACCTCCTCTCAAGTCTCATTCTCAAGGGCTGCATCTAGGCAGCACTTAACAGGAAGAGCCGAACGGATGTGTGAAAGGCAGCGTCACAGGGCTGTGCTGGTGGCTTGGTCTCTGCAGGGGAAGCGTTCTGTGATCTGGCAAAAACCCAGGACTGAGAGCCTCCTCCCTGCACACCAGGATGGGTCATTAGCCTTGTGTCAAAACTATGGGTGGCAGCATTAGCTCTGCAGGATGACTGACCCCACCTCCGAGGCATTCTCCTCCACCAGGGGGCCCAGGGCAGGCTCTGGGCAAAATGAACCGCTTGCTCCCAGGGCCTAGCAGGGACATCAGCTGTGACTCCTGAGCCAGGAGAATTCAGGAAGACCTTCCTGCAGTGTACACCCCACTGGGGGGTGTGCCACCTCAGCCTCCGCACCTGCTTGTGCAGTGTTCTGCTTCTGCCAAGGCGTCCTCCCCACGCTGTCCTGAGGGGCTCAACCTCCCACACACCTATCCCGTGTCTTCCCATTTGGGTGACTCTCCATAGAGGCCCTTCCTGTGTGCACAAAGTCCAGCGTCCCCCGTGGCCCTGGACCTCCTCCATTTCATAGGCAGATTCTAGGCCAGTCCCCAAGGCTTCCTGCCTCCCAGCATCCATGCTCTCCTGCAAGCCCCTTCCCAGGGAAGGTCTGGACCTAATGACTTGCTTGCAGCCAGGAATGTGCAAAGATGATGTGACATTCCTTCAGTGATTAGGCTTCAAGGGACGGTCCTCTGTCCTCTTGACGGACCTCTATTGCCACTCTGGCCTGCACCCTCTGATGGAGGAAGCAAGTTGCCATGTTGGCGAGGCCACAGGGCCAAGAACCAAGAACCTCTGGCCAGCAGGCATCGAGGCCCTGAGTGCTGTCAACACCAAGTAAGCCTGAAGCAGATTATTCTTTGCTGAACTGTGAGATGACAACTGCCCAGCCGACACACTGTAACTGTAGAGTCTTTCTGTGAGAGACTCTGAGAGGGCCCAGGGAAGTCATTCCAGAAACCGTGAGATATTAAATGTGTATTGTTTTTTAAAATTATTTTATTTTATTAATGTAGAGATGAAGTCTCACTGGTCTTGAACGCCTGGGCTCAAGCAATCCTCCTGCCTCAGCCTCCCAAAGTGCTGGGATTACAGGCGTGAGCCATTGTACCAGGCCTAAATGTGTATTGCCTTCAGCTGCTGAATTTTGTGGTCATTTCTGAGCAGCAGTTGATCACTATATGATTCAGCACCTGCGGTGTGGCTTCCCACCTGAACTCATGCCTCAGTGTGCCTGCAGACTCAGGGCACAGGCCTCTCTTTACCAAGCTGCCAGTGCGCTGGGCGGGAGTTCCCAGAGAACAAGTGTGCCCACGGCACTACTCAAGGGCTGGGTAGGGAGCCGGGGCTTGGCTTGCTGCCCCATCCCTAGGAGACTTCTGGTGGGAGAGTTGGCATTCAGAGGTCTGACCGTGCAAAGAGAGGTTCACTTGGCAACCAACCTCCTCTCTTTCGATTTCTTGAAAGGCAAGAAGAGACTGGCTTAGAGCAGAAGTGTGGGTGCCTGTAAGGTCACACCTGTTCTTATTTGACACTCTGCTAACAGAGTCCCTTCCTTACGTAATGTGAACCCAGAGCAGAGCCCACTCCACTGAGGAAAGCGAGGCTCATAAAGACCAGCCAGTCTGCTCTCCTTGCACCACCCCTAAGTGCCCGTCGAGGGCTTTGTGTTCCGGAGAGAATCAAAGGAGGTAGCAGAGGAACAGACACTACTCCTGGCCTCAAAGGACTGAAAGCAGCGCTGGGAGAAGGGACACGCATGTGTAATGAAGCCAATTCATTCAAGGCAGAAGATGCTGCCAGCATTGGGAGTACTGTGTTTGCACTTTCCAGTTTCACAAGGGCTCGGATGCCCCCTAGACTAAGGCTGCCCCTGAGGGTGGTGCAGACACACAGGTTCAGGCAAGCAGCTCTCGCAGTGACTCTCATGAATGACACCTGACGACCCATGCTTGCACTCATGAGCAAATGGCTGAGGACACTGGCTGTGTCAGCAGAGCTGAGTCTGGGCCACAAAGCACTCAGGCAGCTCGTGGTGGGCACAGGCTGGAGGCATTCCTGGCTTCTTTTTTCTCCTGTGTCCTCGAGAGACAGATGGCCAGAGACCGCCTGTCGGTTGCTCTTCTTCCTCCCTCCTTTCCAGGTGCCTTTGGGAAGGCAGGAGAGACCTGGCATTCATTTGCCTGTGCTGGGTCTGGAGTGCAGGGAACCAGGGAGTTGCCAGAGAACAAGGGCAAACACATGTTTCTTCTACCGGGCAGAACATGCGGGAGAGAAGCAGATAGTGTCCACAGTTCAGGGCAGTCCCTGGGATGCCACACTGCTGGGGTCAGGCCCCCTTGGGATGCCATACTGCTGGAGGTCAGGTTCCCTGGGATGCCACACTGCCAGGGTCAGGCCCCCTGGGATGCCACACTGCCAGGGTCAGGTCCCTTGGGATACTACATTGCCAGAGTCAGGTCTCTTTGGGACACCACACTGCTGAGGTCAGGCCTCCTTGGGATGCAACACTGCCAGGGTCAGGCCCTCTTGGGATGCCACACTGCCAGGGGAAGGGGGCAAAACACCTTGCTGATGTCTTGGCAGTGCCCACTCTCAGATGAAATGGCACCTGATGCTGGATGAGACAGCTGCTACATTGTTTCAGAGTTTTATGAGAGGGAGAACCCTCCCCCCAAAAAAACCCCAGAATTATCTTTTGGAGGGAGGCCCCTTGTAGTACACTCAGAATTTGTTCCTCCAGATCAAACAGTCAACCCAAGTTTTTATCTGGAAGTTTTGAGAGGGTTGCGTCATGATTTGCAGAAGAAACATCCTAAGTTGTGGCAAACAGGTGACTGGTTCTTCCACCATAACAACACATCTGCCCACATTGCTCTGAGTGTTCAACAGTTTTTAACTCAAGTTGGCATGACCCATGTGTCCCACCCTCCCTATTCACCCAATCTCACCCAGAGCAACTTTTCTTTTAGGTTCCCTGGATAAAAAAGTCCTCAAAGGGAAAATGTTTTGCTGATGTGGAAGAGGTGAAACAAAAAACAGCAGAGGCACTAAAAGGCATCAAAACAGACACATTCAACAACTACTTTGAGTAGTGGCAAGAGTCTTAATAGGTGTATTGCATCCCATGGAGAATACTTTGAAGGGGACTGAATTTTAAACATTAAGAATAAATACACAATTGTTAAAGAAACGAATTCCGGTTTCTTTTGAGTCCCCCTTTGCAGATGACATCTGCTCCTAGATGAGCTAATAGATGCTACATTCCTTCAGACCTTCGTAATAAACAAAATAATATCAAATATCTAGTTACCATAGTTCACAGACTGAGAGAGGATTTGGAAGACTAAGGATGCATGAGATAACTTACAAATATTTTGGAAAACATATGTCTGAGAATGTATGCCAGATATTTTACAAAGTATTAGCTAAGTCAGCAAATACACATGGCAGGAAAATATAGCCTTGTGGTGTAAAAGACAGGAAACTGGGGTGAGGGGGAGAGGAGAAGGATCCTCACACAGCAGCAATTTGGGATACCCTGCACCCCTGTGGTCAGGCATTTTGATTTTACATCAAGCTCTGGCTTTCCTTGTAGCCTCTCATCTAGTAGAGAAGACTGATTTGGAACTTAAATGCAAAGGTCAGGCACAGTGGCCCACATCTGTCATCCCAGTGCTTTGGGAGGCCAAGGTGGGAGGATCGCTTGAGCCCAGGAGTTCAAGACCAGCCTGGGCAACATAGTGAGACCTCATCTCCACAGCAAACAAAAAGTAAAATAAAGTAAAAACTCTTAAAAAAAACCAAGCAAAACTTGAACATGAGAACCCTAGTCAAAGGACCGACTGGACCACAAACATTAAATTGTCAAAAGATTGAAGGACAGCCCTGTCCCCGCCCTCCCGGCCCTGGGCTCCCCTGTCCCTCCTCTTGTGCTCCCTTGTCCCTGACCTCACGACCCCAAGCTCACCTGCCCCTCCTCTCGTGCTCCACCCTCATGACCATAGGCTTACCTGTTCCTCCTCTGGTGCGCAAGGTGCCTGTGTGAGAGGACGAGTTCACGCCCCCGAAGACGGTGAGCCCCTGGCCCCCGGCTGCGTGGAAGTTGTTGTAGTTGGGGATGGAGGTCACGCCAAAGCTGGGGTAGTGCTGCGGGGTGGGGTCTGTGCCATAGCGGAACCCGGAGCTCTGGTGTAGGCTGCCGTCCCTCTCTTCCGTCAGTTTGGTTGCTTCTTTGTCCTTACATTGCACACAGCCCATATCTAAACTCCTGCCGAGACAAGGAGGAGGCCCGTGAGCTCGGACGCTGCCCAGCTGCTGCGTCACTTCACTACTTAAAAAACACATTCTTTTTTTTTGGAGTTGGGGTCTTAGTCTGTCGCCCAGGCTGGAATGCAGTGGCATGATCACAGCTCACTGCAGCCTTGACTTCCTGGGCTCAGGCAATCCTCCCACCTCAGCCTCCTGAGTAGCTGGGACTACAGGTGTGTAGTACCACCATGTCCAGCTAACTTTTTGATTTTGTTTTTTGTGGAGACAAGGTCTTGTTATGTTTCCCAGGCTGGTCTCAAACTCCTGGGGTCAAGCAATCCTCCTGCCTTGGCCTCCCAAAGTGCTGGAATTACAGATGTGAGTGGCTGCGCCTGACTGGGTGGCTTTACTATTAAAGAGGGGCAGCTGACAAGGCTCACCCTGGGCTATTCCAGGGTGAGGAAAAGCAGTGGCCAGGATGGCTGGGAGGAGGCTCGGCTGGGAGGAGGCTCAGCTCCCTCGACCTGACAAGCGCATTCCTCCATGGAGGCAACACCTCTCACAATGTGCAATAACACACACCTGCCCAGAGACAGTGTGGCCAAACTCACTAATCTAACTCTGCCTTTCTTTAGTCATCTAAAAAAAAAAATACGCTCCCTGAAATGAGTCTATACATTACAGGAATACAAAGTTCCATCATGACACAGGACATCCCAAGAAGAGGGCATTGAGTGAGCCAGAAGACAGCCCCCAACAAGTCCCTTGACATCCTCACTCGTGGGACCTAGTCTTCAGGCATATAACGGATCCGTTTTTAGTAATAAGATGATGATAGAATCAACACAAAGCAGTGAATGAAAGACAGAATGAGGCAGAGCACTGTGGCCCACGCCTGTAATCCCAGCACACTGGGAGGCTGAGATGGGAGGGGTGCTTAAGCCCAAGAGTTTGAGACCAGCCTGGGCAACATATGAGACCTCGTCTTTACAAAAAACTCAAAAAATTAGCCAGGCATGGTGGTATGTGCCTGTAGTACCAGCTACTTGGGAGGCTGAGGTGGAAAGAGTGCCTGAGTCCAGGAGTTCAAGACTGTGGCGAGTCGTGATGATGCCACTGTACTCTAGCCTGGGTGATAGAGACCCCAACCCCCCCCACCCCCAAAAAGGCTGGGCTAAGTAGCTCATCCTATAATCCCAGCACTTTGGGAGGCTGAGGTGAGTGGACTGCCTGAGCCCGCAGGTTTGCGACCAGCCTGGGAAACTTGGTGAGACCTTATCTCTACAATAAATCAAAAATAGCCAGGCGAGGTAGTACGTGCATGTAGTTATGGCTACTTGGAAGGCTGAGGCAGAAGGATCACTGGAGCCCAGCAGATCAATGCTGGGGTGGCCCTGAGTGTGCCACTGCACTCCAGCCTGGGCAACAGAATGAGACTCCAACTCAAAAAAAAAAAAAAAAAAAAAAGACAAAATTGGCAAAAGCTAAGAGATTCAAGTATACTTTCAGGGTATCATGAGAGCCTACAATAACAAAACTACTTAAAGCTGCTCATTTACTTTTCAAATTTCCATTAGCTTCAGACATCTTTCAACAACAATAAAAAAAAATCATTAGGCATGTCCAACCTGCAGCCCATGAGCTGCATGTCGCCCAGGACAGCAGGCAATGAGGCCCTACACAATCTTTTAACATCATATGTTTTTTAGCATTTATTTTCTTTGTAGTTCCATTTTGAAGTTCACAATCATGCCTTATTCATGACATTGCTTATTGGCAGCACATACATTTGTGAGCAGCTGTTTTCAATAATGAAGCACATGGAGAGCAACATTTGAACAAACATTTCTGACGAGCATCTTGAGAACTCACTGAGAATTGCAACCACTTCCATTGAACCAGATATGGAGAGATTAATTGTACAAAAACAAGGTCGGATTTCCTACTGGTTTTATGTTGTTCACATTTTTCTAAACGTTATGATAAAACACAAAAAAATAAGTCTTACGTGAATACCCTAACTATATTACATACTTTATGTGCACCCAAGACAACTCCTCTTTACTCAGTGATGCTGAGTAAAGTCCAGGGATGCCAAGGGGTTGGTCTAGAGTTAGTGGGGGATGACGAACGTGAGTCCAATCACCCTGCCCCCCAAAGTCGACTCCAACTCTACGCCTCACCTCAGTCAATGGCACCACCCATGATCAGTCCCTCAAGGTGGACTCAGAAGCCTCTCTCCTTGCTCCTCCCTCCTTCTCCCTCTTCCTGTCTCATGTTGTACATTCAAATATGCCCAGCTTTTCAGTTCCTCAGAGATTCCCCATTTCAGGCCTTGAACACACTTCTTCCCCTGCTTAGATATGTATGCATCCTTCACAGCCCGGTCAACAGGGGCTACTTCCTCCATGAGGCTCTCCCTGATCGCCTACCCTCCCAGGCCAGGATCGCGCTTTCCAAGTGCTATATCATCCCAATGTCCCTCCTCACCTATGGCATCATATTTAAAATGGTTGGCCCACCTTTCTCACGGTCCAGTGGACTGCAAGTCTCAGGAAGGCAGGGCCCCGTCTGTTTGATTCCAGCTGTGAAAAACAGCAGCCAGGCGAGTGAAGATTCTGTGGCTCATCATGTTTCTCTCTCACCCTTGCTTTCTCTCTGCATTAAGGATAATGCTTGCTCAGGGACTGTAGTCAGCAGTGGACCCTGCGCTTCTAAACCTCCTGGTGTGTGGGGGAGAAGTGAAGCCGCTTCAAGTGAGTGGGTTGAATGGCCCCGCTCTGCAGTGCAATACCCTGTTGAGTCGACGGGGGGTGTGTGGGTAGGCAACAGGCCCCTGCCAAGACTGCAAAGAGCCTGTTGGGGACCAAAGAATCAAATAAATAAGAAACACATGGCATCATGTGTGATGACACACATTCCCTGGGGAGGGCACGGCTGGCACAGGACAGAATGAGATTTGAGGTGGCAAAGGAGAATGAAAGCACCTGTTTTCCTATACCATCTGGTAAACCAATGTGGGAGGTGGCTCATCACACAGGGAGGCTGTCCTGGGCACTCTTCTGAGAACCGCTTTCCACTTAGGCTGGGTCATGGGAGCGATATCAGCCTGTTCCAAAGCCCTCACAGGACGTGTTCAATAATACTGAGTTGAGTGTCAGTTCTTGAGAAAGGAAGTGCTGGGCTGAGCTCACCCAATCTGAAACACATTTATTCGCAAGTCCCTTGAGATGAACTTACAGCGTACCGTGTCCAACATGCTTTGTGACTTATGGTAAATGAAATACAATGTTAGCAAGTTTCCAGTAGGAAATGCAGACACTTCCAAGACATAATGTGCTCAAAGAATTCCATCACTGTTGTTGCTGTTGCTTCACCAGCCTGGTAGATATCCTGTTCACATCACATTAACTCTTTTCATGGTGGAAAGTTGCTCCAAGTTCCCACAAAGGCCAGACAGAAAATGCTTCCCGTCCTAGATGCTTTTTTTCCAGGGATTCCACTGTCCTACTGGAATCAGAGGATGTGAGACCTGAATTGCACGATCATATCATCTGTACCAGTGGTTCTCAGTTGGGGTGGTTGTGCCCCCAACTGAGACTCATTAAGAAATGTCTGGAGACATTATGGGGTGTCACACTTAGTGGAAGAGGAACTGCGAGCACCTGATGAGCAGAGGCTGCAGACGCCACCGCAGCATCCCGACAACGTACAAGTCAGCCTCTAAAGAAGCACCTCGCTCCAAATGTGAGCAGTGTCAAGGCAGCGGAATCCTGACTTACACAGAGGAAGGAATTTATGTTTGCATCTCTGAAACAACCGAATGCTGTTTTCCTTGTGTGTATGTGTAAAACAAGTAACCCAGAACACTTCCTCAGGAGAAGAGGCATGCTACGCGAAAAAAGGCAGTTTTACAAAGTGATGTGAAATGCTCTCGTTTTCTCTAGAAGCTTGTTCACTATGATAGAGAAACTGGACGTAAAATCAATGAGAAAGCTCCTTGCAACTACCCTTGAACTCTGACAAGATGATATACCCCATGTCAGAACCCTGCAGAAAACAGGATCCTATATCTAACCAAACCAAGAATAAACAATCTTTCCAAATTCACTAGAAAAACAAGTAATACATGACTAGCAGCTTATTTATAATTTTATGAAATAACATAGGGAAAAACCCCATCAGTTCCATGAAGACAGGGATTCTTTTTTGTTTCAGTGTTGCATTTCTAGTGCTTACAATGGTACCTGGCACATAGTGACATTCAATTAATACATTTTAAAAGGTCAAAACCGTTTTGGAGAAAACAGTTCTCATTTACAGAAGGGACAGCACTGTCATCACTTCATGCATTTGAAAAGCTGAGGTAAGTGACGTTTCTACACAGAATTGCTTACTCTTACTGCTTCACTGACTCATGCGAAGAAGTGAAAATAAATCAGCAAATGTAGTCTCCTTTCTCCCACGTGGGGCCGTCAGGCTAACCATATGCTGATGGAAGAGTTGGAAAGTATGGCATAGGCTGGGCACAGTGTTCAGGCTCCCTGCTACGAGGCAAACTACTGAGTATCTAAGCTAAAATAACAGTGTCCTTCTTAGATACAGTTATGGGCTGCAGCTCTTATGTCCAGTGCTATGGGTCCACCATGAACATGTCATGCACAAACACACTTGCTCTAGTCTGTGGGGCACCGGGAAACAGTCCTGGGGCACTCTGATCAGGAAGACACTGCATGCCATGGACTGCAACTGCATCCCCAGTCCAGAAGAGCTGGCAGAGGGCCCCTGACCCCTGGGTCCATGCCTCTGGTCAAGATGTCTGGAGTACGACCGTGCAGCCTCCATTCTCCAATGCTTTTGCAAACTGAGAGGCCCTGTTTCCACTATATGCTGATAAAGTCCTTGACTTAAAACTTTCTTAGTCCTGTAGATCTTTTCAGATGTGCCCATAGTGCAATGCATCATGGGAAGGGTTGCCAGACGTGGGCTTCCCAGCTCATGACGTCCACGAGCAGG